TCCGCTACACCTTCTGTCATTGAAAAATTATTTCCTAATCGGGAACGACTCAACACCGAGGAATCATCATCACTTTTCTCTAGCCTTGCACCCCCCGCCGGGGGGTGCAGGCTGATTCTTTCCATCCTTTTGCCCATCGGGGCCCCTCTTCTGCCTTCCCTCATCTGGCATCTCGCCTCTGCTGGATGGGGGTCCTCTTCTCCTCGTTCTGGGGGCCTCATGGTGAGGCCTCTGTCCTTTCTACCCCGCTTTTGCTTTACTTCGGTTAGCATCAGCACGGTTGGCTTTGGCGGCTTGGTGATGGCTGGACGGTCAGATGGGATGGTGGTCCTCTGGGCTATCGGGAGTAGCCTCGCCTACTTCTGTGACCCTAGTTGCAGCCTCCTGCCGTATTGTTTGGCCGGATCTTTGCTACCTTGCCCTCTTCCTCTCCTTCCTCCGGGATTGGCTGGCACCCTACTGCCAGGATCGGCTGGCACCCTACTGCCTCGGCCTCAGGGCCCCATCACCACTGAGGAGGTAGTGCTCCGGCCTGCCCCTCTCTCCTCCCCTCCGTGCCAGGATTCCTTGGTGCTTCTCTCACTCCGGCTACCGTTACTGCAGCGCTACAATCCTTCCCTGGCTCTGAAGTCACTACAGCCTTCATCCACCCGTTTCCACAACCAGCTTCCTCACAGTCGGGGTCTACCCCCTCCCTCCTGGGCAGTATCGGCTGCCCCCCTCTATCAAAGGTTGCTGGCATTCCTCACCTGTCTTCCTTCCTCCACACTTGCGGCCCACCCCCGGCCGAACGACCTGTTGGCCTACCTTGGTATTGCACTATCTCCTGGGTTGAGCTGGCCGGCCCTGTCATGCCATTTCGCCAGGGTCCTACCATGGGCCCGACAGCGGACATATTCGTTCGCGGACGCCTGTAGAGGCACTTGGGGGTTTCCTAATCTATTCTTTCCTTTGTTGAGATGATGCTGAAGGGTTTTTCTTCTCTCTCCTGCCTTCCCTGTAGGGGACGACTGTTCCTTTATGGGGCGGGATGTGCGGTTAGGCCCATACCAGAGGGTCTTGGGGGAGTTGTTTTGGTCCCTGGGGCGTGGAGGAATGCGTCTGAAATTAAGGTTTTGTTTTTACCATAGCTAGCGCTCCATGCAGGTTCTTGTACCTTAACAAAGAATATATGAGATAAACAAAAAAAAAAAACAATTCCTAGCTTTCAGAATATCAGCAAACAGAGAAGAGATCTTATTAATATATTTATTATACTTTGATACCTTCTTTTTACTATGAGCTTTCTTGACTATTCTTTGAAAAACCTTACTTCAAGTTGTTCTAGTTACAATTTACTAGGCTTTAGAATTAGCTACTCTCTAGCAATTAGGTTTATATTATACTCTCAGATAGATACCTCTTACTGATTGTATACAAGAAATTATAGGAGATTTGAAATTTTATTAAGATCATTCTTCTTTATTTTCTTATTTCAATCCTAATGAGAACTCTTAAGTTGGGCTTAAGAAATGTATTTACATCCAATATACTGATATTCTTAATACCTGAGGGGGTCTTACTAGGATTGGGAAATGGTAAGTAGAAGTTCTACTAATTATTTAAGTAACTATTTCTAATTACTTTTTGTAAAATCTCTAGTACTTAGTATTGTTATATATAGAGGAGTAATTGGTACAGCACATAACTAAATTTAAAAGACTATATATCTGACTCTGGGTCTTACAATAGTTGTTGTTACATTAATAAATTAGTATATGAAATAATAAGACAACTATATGGCCCTCTCTATAGAGATGCAAGAAATGTGAGTAAGAGGTTTTTACTAGATAACATAGAAAGAGTCTAGCTGTTCAAGATAAAACTTAGTTGATTTTGTTTGATTGGTTGGTTCAAGAACTATGACTCCAATAAGCTATTATACCAATAGTTCCTATAGAAGAACAAATGTGTACTCAAGCCCTTTAACCCTTATACAAATAACTTGAATAGTCATTTGGAGCCTAGTTTGTAGTTGGTTAACAATACTAGATGAACTCCTCAGTAGCTTACAAAGCTTGAAGAGTAAGATATTACTCTACTGTCAAGCAGTTTAAGCTCAGTACAGTAGGATATATTATATTAATAAGTCCTTGACAGAGCTGATCACTTCACTTTTGATAAAAGCAGGCAGTTGGTTTTCAGGGTCCAGAGAGTTTATAATCTCTAGATACTAAAGTAGTATTATGGTAAGTACATAGTTGGTAAGAGATTGGATATAGCCTGCTACCACTCAGACATGGAACATAAATATTAAGGTACCTTCCTAACTTTGAACATTATTATCAACTGGGAAGAGATCTTATCGACATATTTATTTTATTTTAAATCCTTATAAGCCTTTTTGACTTGCTCCAAAAGTGAAGATTATAAAGACCTAGATTACTCACTTGGCTTTAAAGTTTCTATATGCTCACATGTACCTTTTAGAATTGAAGCTATTATTGATGCTAAAGGCTGGTCACAGTGTACTAGATACTTCTCTGATAGACTTTTAGTTTTTAGATTTTCATTTCTTGTTTTATTATTTAATTTTTAACTTTTAATTTTTAATATTTTATCTGATATCTTTTTTCATTATTTCATGGTAGCTGGAGCGGGAGGAGTAGACAGTATTATACCCTTTTAAGTGGTACAGACTGTCTTGCATTGCACTATTATCAAAACTTTTACGTAGGAGCTGTATTATGGCAATTATCATGAAGTTGTAGAGGAAATACCTTTTAGTTGACTTTAGCTGTACCACGTAAAATTGAAGGTACTGCCATATTATTATAAGGCCTTTCCCCTTGGTAGAATATTGTTTTGTGTAAGTCTTATGTGACTCACTTTTATTGCATGATACTTTCACTTTCCTGCAGAGTGAGGTGTTGGGTACATATATGAAGTACTCTCATACTCGAGTACTTTTGGACGGAATACTATACTATGTTTATCATATGCACAGACCTTAGTCAGCTATATGTCTTACGCTCCTGCACTCATAGCATTTTCACCCTCTTCCCCACCCTTTCAGGGTACTTATTGCTCGGGAAAAATCTTGAACTCGAAGTCTTATTCGCAGGAGGAAGAAAAAGAAAAAAAACACAAAAGTTGGTTGTTAACCTCCGTCTTAGAAACTGGGAGGAGGAGCGGAATCTATTTTCGGCGTAGATTGCCGGTCCGGGGGTTATGTTCCCAGAACATAACTCATCATGGGGTCGCCTATTGGGCGAGTGCCGGTCGGTAGCCAAATGCTTCACTGAGCGGAAATGGCTGTCCGAGCACAGTAAACGAATAAATATCATAGGTCAACTTCTCTTATGAAAAGTATTATTTACGGTGTGAAATACGCCACTAAGTTAAAGATTGGTCATGTTGCCGAAGGGATGTTTGGGCTTGGTACCGGTACTCGAGTACGGTATTGGATTTGGGCTTGTGGGGTGGATGTTGTTGGTGGCTTGGGAGTGATAAACTAGTGTCCAATTCGGGATTGGGGCGAGTTATGGAGGATCTGTGAGGTTTGGGATTGAATAGCGGGGAAGGAGGGGGAGCTTGGAGGTGGGTTTTGGTAGCGGCGTTAATTGAGAATCATATCATACCGGTAGTGGACTCCCGTGAATGTTAATTATTGCGGCTTCGGTGAATGATAGTACTGGTAATAGATCATGCTACTTCTAAAAGAGCTATGCAGTCCGTCAGTGGGGATCCTCAGATGCCCCCCGAGTAACCGGACACACGGAATAACTACCTTAACCGCGGAAGATGACTGACCCCCCATAGTCCTTACAACGGCCGAATGTAATCGATCCAAAACCTCACGTCCGCCGGGGCACAAACTCCATCGTTAACCCCCCTACTGATCTATTGTATCACATTAGTCACATGCCCCTCCAGCCTCCATGGAGGAAACTGAGAAAAGATAGTTGAAACTCACTCTCCATTCCCCCCCATACCCACCCCCACAAGTCTGCCACTCCAAGACCCCGCTTAGGCTCAATATATGTCTCCCCTGCTCGTTGCACCCGATCTCGAACCTGCCGGTGATGGCTCCCACGGGAACACTACTTCCGAACTTGAAGGTGTACCCGGTGTCCGGTCCTCCGGGGTTCTTCTCGAGGTAGCCTTGCTCTTCAGGCCCGCCACCGTCTGCGTAGCGGTAGATACCGCCGTCATAGAAGAAGGGGATTACGCTTACGGGGAAGGGGCGGGCAGGTGGGGAGATGGTTAGCTGGGAGTGCGAGAGGTAGGGTTGGAGGTTGTTTAGTTCCGGCGTGAGGGAGTTGTAAGTTGTTAAAGTGAAGGAGTTGTTGTAGTTGATTGTGCAGCGTGCGGTGGTGGAGGCCGTGTGTGAAAGGAGCAGGAGTAGGAGGGAGAAGAGGGGAGGGAGGTGTGGGAAGTTCATGATTGTGGTGGTTTGGGGGCAGGTATTCAGGGGGCAACTATCAAGGAGGAGGAGTCCTGTGGTTCTCCCCGATGGTTATATATCCATCGCCAGTGTTGAATAACATTCCTCACTTTCGCTATGGCAGCTGGATTCTGGGGCTTCCTCACCACAAAACACTGGATGAGTACTTCCCGGGAGCACAACATAAGACCGCACCTCGTATACTCGGGTACAGGTGCGATTCTGTCCCCATTTGTCAGTGAAAAACTCATGTCACAATCCAATATGATACCAGTAAACTTTCGCAATTCTAATCCGCCCACCTCAACCTGTGCCATCTCGTATTGAGAACCTTGCACCTTTCGATCGGCAGCTGGGTGTAGAACCTTAATCCACAACCCTCCCATTACCCACCACTTCGATTGCTTATTATCGGACAAGAGCGTAAGGCATTATTTCTACGCCCTAGCGTACTGCACTTGGTCTATATGAGTTGCGAGACATGTAATTGAAGCGAGACACCTCTACCACACCTAAACTATCGTATTCTGAAGAGTACCGGTACAGTACGTGGTATTTCGCCAAGAGAGAAAGGGAAAGCCTTGAAATCGGAAGCTCTAGGAATAGATACTATTGGTTATTCAAATCGCAACTACGGACTCCGTTGAGTAAAGGATTGAGGACTGGAACGGGCGCCTCGTGCTCACCTCTTGGAATGGGACTCGTGTTTCCGCGCCAAGAATCAGTACCCTTTTGTAATGGCCACCGCTGCCACACTGACCCATGCAGAGGCTGCCGATTCTTGGCTCGGAGACAAGAGCATATGTGGCGGACACCAAGAGGCTGCTTGTTCGGGAGCTTCCTGTGGTGGTCTGGAATTAGCTATCCCTTAGAGAGGTGAAACGACGAAATTGAGTGCTCCCGAGAAATTGCGCTATCACAACAGGGAAGGAACAGGGGTTCGGATTAGTAAAAATAACAAATAGTATAAAATGAAAAATGGAGAACAGGCACATCTTTCAACATGACACCGCTGACATTCAAACATGACTTGACGTACTCTTATGTCAACTCCTGGGCCAGCATTTTTTTTCCTCCAGGGAAACCATAAACACCATCCACAAGTAGCCTTTTTAACTAATATTTGCCCTTGCAGAGTTCCCCTTTTGCCAGCGGGTTGTGGTTCAGTCATATTTTTTGTGATGTAAGTTTGGCGAGTAGGATGAAAAAGGTAGAGGTGGCACTGCTGTCTGTAAATAAACTTAAATTTAAGCTTATCCAATTTCAATTCGACAGTAGGAGAAGGCTTCTGAGCAGCAGCTAAAAGAGGTAACAAGAGATGAGCGGAACTCGCACTGTGATGCTTTGGAACCATTTGTACAAGCAAGATGGCATGAGTTGATGATGGCTATATCTAAAAGCCAATAAAAAAAGGGTTGCCAGTTCCGCTGGGTGATACATTGGGTAGTAAAATAGGAATGTAGCTGATCGGCAATATCGACACCTCCCATATATCAATTATAGTCATCATCAATCTTTGGGATAGACAGAAGTTTGCAGTGCTCCTGGTTCATAAAAGGTTTATGAGCAGCTGCAGCATTAGTGCTGGTATGGTGTAGCTTCTGTCATAGGTTTTCAACCTAAGAAGTAGTAGAGTCCAAATTGTGAACCATGGATAAGAGGTGTACTGTGCTATTATCCTGCCAGAGGAAGGCCATGATGGGTGGAATACCCCAAGCAGAAGCTTCTGGTAGTAGATTCCCAATTTGTCCCTTTTTTTTTGGTGCTATCATGAATTTCAGGAAACCACTACACTTGTAGCAAAATTCCACTCTAGTATTCCTACTACCTTATGTTTACTAATATTTAAGCAGTCAGAAAAGTCTTTACTGCTGCAGCGTACAGTTCTGCATGCACCAATTCCATAATCCAGCAGCCAGGCAAACAACTAAATATTGGAAAAGTAGTTGTCCATATAGGCCATAAAAAAATGTGTGCGATAAGGAAGGGTAATTAGCCTCTGTAGTACTGCAGATATGGTGGACGAAAGAGGATAAGACTTGGTTTGCTGTATACTGATCGCAAATCTCTCAACTCATGAAGTGAGTTCCCAGTCATAAGTGTAACCTACATCACACAATACTAATACCTTATAGCCAAGACTGATTGGCTTATTAGGCATCTTGATTGTATAAGTGGAGCGACCCAAAAAGCGTATCATCATTTCAGCAACTGAAATATTCGTTAAGGGTAAAATACACTCCTTAGCCCGATTGCGTATATTGTTGTTCAATGGTTCTAACGTTCTCCACTAGTACTTGCGTGGGATCGGCGTATCGTTTAACTGTGGCTCTGATATGTATAGATATCATTTAAGATACTGGAATCAGGTATAACTCATCCAGCCACTTGGTTCAGAGCCGCTCCCTAAACGTTGAGAGTGTAATCTACGCCAGAATTCCTTAGGACTTGCTTCTTTCCACAAACTGAGGTAAATTAACAGAGTCAGAAAAACCAGTAGCTCACGTGGCATGGTGGGATACTATTTACGAATGAAAGAATGGCTGGTGCTTCTGGTTCTGGCATCATGTGTGGTAGCATAGAGATTTGTATGCTTCGCTAAAATTTCAAGTTTCTTTCGGGAAAAAAACAGAGACAACACCGCATAGGGGTTGATAAGACTAGCTGCTGGACCAATAGACTTGGCCTGATGTGGTGCACAGAGGCCTTGAAATGGGATATGGGCCAGCAGTGATGGCAGATTCCGAATTTTCTCAGTCACAGACATTTTCTTGGTTGCGGGCATTTTCTCCTGCTCCTTCCCCTTCTCCTTTCTTGTATGTCCTTCATTTCTGCTTGTCCCCTTCTCTATTATTGGGAAACTACCTATATTGGAACAAGAATCAGCTACCAGCCCGATTGGATATTCTGTAGCACTAGGGGTATAATTTGGGCAACCTGATCCTATGCTTGCTAGTAATGACATACTATTTACAGAGAACATACCTAGTGGTTTCTGCTTTCTAGATGAGAATGTCTATATTTGAGCAGGTTGATCGGTGGGTGGAGCAGTGATTTTCTTGGCTTGTAGTATTGCTTCATGTGTTTGGAGTTTGTGTGACTTGGGGCAGAATCAGACTGTTCTCTATGTTGACTTCAGCTACCGAGGAGGTTCTTAATTGCTTATTCATCCAGTGACTGAGACAATACTATTGCGCAATTTCAGAGGAGCACTGAATTTCGCTGTCTTACCTCACTAAGAAATACTAAAGTACTATATCAAATGATTTTGTATAATTGGTAGTTACCAACTGACATTCCTAAACACCCCACTCTTGCAAACCAAAACCTCTCCACAACCATGCCTCCCCACAAGACTGACTACATCAGCAAAAATAAATCCTGCGTCAGACACGCGGGCGCCGCGTCCGGACGCCCGGTGTTTTTCCCCTGTGTGCCCTGTGTCCTGTGCGTCTGGTCTTGTGTTGCAACGGCCAGCCGCATCGGCTGCGTCCTCCATTTCAACCCCTGGTTTATCCCGTCATCTGTGACGCCTCCCACGTCTGGCCGTCCTGACGCCATCCCTACTCACCTCCCACATTTCATTCTATTCTGGACGCCCGTATCTACACCTTCTTTCTCCATCCTGTTGTAACGCATTCGGCATATCTGCTCTTCTCAGGGCGTCGATAGCGTGTTTTGATACCCGGCATCCACCCGTCTGGTTCACATCGTCGTATCCTCTGGCGTCTGGACTCGGTCCACATCTCCCCCCAGGAGCCTGCACCTCACTGGGAACTCCTGACGCCGCACTTCTACTTTCAGAATTGGGTCCTACTGATTTCAGGACGCTGTATCTCGTGTAGGCTTCCATTTGCCGCCACCCTATTCCCACTGTGAATGTCATATCTCGATCAAGTTTATTTCCATTTCATGACTTCCGAATCTATCTACATTATGCTATCTATGGAGGGTTACAACTGCAAGAGCTTCCCGTTATATGATATCCACGTCATAGCCCTCATTCTCGCCCTTCTCTTGCCATAAGCGCCTAAGTCCCATATGTTGAATGCCATCAATTCCTAGGTATCCCAGCCCCACGCCCATACTATGAGAACAGGATGCAAAGACCGGTTTTGGCCCTGCACCGCATCGTGCTTCTCGTCGGATCAAATACTGGCTGAGCGATTTGCCAAATCATTCAATATATTTCGTTGGACGTCCGTAAATCGATCCGACTATTAACAAGCCAGCACTGTTCCGTGTCCTGTATCAAGTGCGCCAAGCCGGTAATGGTGCCAATATCTACTATGGTAAATCTTCGGGCACCCTGCTTCAGCTGTACCGTGATGAGATCATGAAACTCAGATGGGCGTCCCGAGTTAACTACGCTCAGCACTTGGACACACGCGAGTCGGTAAACCCTATCGCCCTGTGTATGTTGTAAACATCTGTTTCCTGAAATGCCAGAACAGGAATTTCAAGTTGTGTTAGGAGCTCGACAGGAAGATACCGGAGTACCGCAGGATCTTCTGGAAGCCGGCAGTCAAGGGGCAGGACTTGACGGCTATATTGAATCAATTTCCCACAGAGGTTCTCAATCGAGATACCCAAGACGTTGCAAAAATTTGAAGCATCAGAAACATCAGCACGACCTCCTCTCAGGACCCTACGGTGGGTCTCTGGTACGGATAGTGGGCTCGCCGAGTCCAATAGTTTACCAACGTCAGCAGGGATATGGGCCCCGCGATGGCGTAGGAAATCTAAGTTCAGAAGCCGCATTCGGATCGAGTGTTGTCGGCCGTAGCTGTGGAGTATCTGCCGCGCAGCATCATTTTTATTCGAGCGTCGCCATCTGTCTTTAATCTGTTCCTTATGGGCCAGCTCCCCAAACTCGGTAGAATACATTGGAATGTTGCCAAACCGGATTACGTGATCACAAAAGTGAGCAAGTAGATGCATCTTGATAAAATGGAAATGACTTTCCGTATGGATCAAGTCCAAACGCTGGTCGTCTT